CGGACCCTGTCCCTGAAACGGACAGACGACGGGTCCGGGGGTTGGGAGTTCTTGGGCTGCGCCCTCGAAATTCGCTCCGAGTACCCTTTTGTTGGCTGTTTCCAGAGGATTCGTAATGAGGAGCAACTGATACTGGGACAACAACTGCCCATTCGGGCGGGCCAGGATTTTGCGTCCTGGTCCACCGAGAGTCAGAAAGCGGCAGCCATTTCTGGATGGCTAAATCGAATTGACAACAATACTTCGGTACGAGAAAAGATCCCGGGCCAAGTTCTTTTGCTCCGAACGACCTATAACCGCAAAGGGTCTCGGACACCTTCTTTCCTCAGGTACTGGAGACTTTCGCAAGGAAAAGGGGCCCAATCTGGAAATTAACGGCTACCGTCTTCCCCCGAACACAACGCACCCTCATTTTGGCTGTATCTGGCCGGAAATATAACTCGTATACATTCATTTTTAGGGTGCGTTATGTTCGGGGGAAGACGGTAGCCTTGTCCAGTGTTTTGTTTGTTCAGGTTAGCGGCACTTTCGGACTATCAAAGTAGGCCTTTCGTTTGGTTTGGCTTTTTTCCGTAGGCTTCGCAGAATTTGTAGGATAGTAAGCGGCACAATTTTTTCCTTTTTTTCCCTTTGTTTTGTTTTGTTTACTTGCTTGCATGTGTTCCAGTCGAGGTCTGACTATATATCGCCCTTTCGCGATTTAGTACGCCTCTTTCAGCAGTACTTCATTGTTCGCTGTCGCTTGCAGTAGGGGCTATGTCCCTGCTGCCACCGGCAGTTTCTGGGGAAGCGGTGGCACGAGGAAGTCTTGGTAGAAGGAAGGGGTGTTATCCCCTGAGGAGGCCACGACTGACACGTGGCCGAAACACGTGTCGGGAGCTATGTCAGAAGGGGTGATGTGCTATTTTCCTATTATCATCATCCTAAGCTCATATGAAGCATTGCTGTTGCTGGAAATTCTTTTCGTCATTCTGTGACATTGTGTCTCGTGTGCTTTGAGTATGTGTGACGCCTGCATGATTTGCCCTTTGCCCCCTTTTCTCTGCCCCCCTTCTCACTTATGCAGGGGCCTCGGCCCACATGCAAGGGTTGCGTTTAGTAGCGACATCTTTGCGACTCCAAAGAGACCTGGATCGTAAAAAAATCCAGCGGTTGTTAGCCCAGCGCGGGGAAGTGGCAGCTTTCCCGCCTAAACGGGAGGTGTTCATTGGCAAAAAACATGTCGGCGCAGCACACGGCGAGGCGCGGGACGTTTGGTTTACTATGGTCAAAAAAGTGTCATAGCTAACTAAACGCCCTAATTCCTCATCGGTCGTCTGTTGGCGGGCAGAATAGGCCTTCGCATGAAGCACTGACTTCCGGTAACACGTGAAAAGGAAGGGATATTTACGCAACTCAACAGAAGTAGCAATTCGATGACCCGTCATGCTGGCTGATGGCCCTCCTGCCGTGCCGATCGGACGGCGTCAAAAGCCTCCCAGTACTGACAGCAGAATTTTCCCGCCCGCCGTGCTGTCGCCCAGTCTCATTTTCTGCTACTAAACCGTGCATGTGGGCCGAGGCCCCAGTTCAGTTCCTTTTCTTTTTTCTTTTTTTTTTAAATCTTCAGTCCTAAGGGCGGGAAGATTCCCGCTTTGTCTGGAAAAACATGTGGGCCAATGTTCCCTGAAACCGGACCTTTAATTGTATATAGCCAACATAACAACACACCCACACCCATGCACAGTTGTCCCATGTCCGGGCTACAAAGATCTGTAGGGGCTTCCGTTAGATCTCGGATCCTGGACAAAAGCAGAAGCTATGGGCCTCGATGCACTGCATGCCCAAAAGACAAGAAAAATGGCAATGTATTGTTCCATGTTCTAGCGGTGTATTCAGTCTCATTTTGCACATTTGGAAAGCAGTGCAGCAAGGCCCTATGACGTCACTGTGGGCCTCACCATACCACTCTGGAAATGTGAAGAAACCAGAAATGTGGCAGGTGCATCTCACACGTTCTAGTGGGAAGTTCATTGAAAACTAATCTATATTTTTTTTTTTTTTTTTTTTTTTGAATCAACCCGATCGGATGCTAGGTGTGCTGATAAGAGCAGACACATCTAGCACCGTCAGGGAGGCTCCATCTATTTGTGGGGAGCAGCACCTGCTGGAAATCGGGTCCAGCGTCCCCTTGGATACATCTTTATAGCACAGTGTTTGTTGGACATATGGCCATTAGAGTTGTTGTTCCCGAGCTTCCTTCTCTCCCTCGGGGATGCCTATGTTACCCTTCCAATTTGCAAAGCTCTTACTTCCCACTGACCAAGCCCCACCCAGGAGAGTGTCCACCGTGCTTTAATGTCTACGCACGTCCTGGCGGTAATGGCTCAACTCCTACCCTTGGTGTCTGCACCCCCCCTTATTCTAACCCCCCATTTTGTAAAACTCTTTGTACCTTTTTAAACCTTGTACCGACGTCAAAATCCAGTGTTCTCCACAACAATGAGCCTTGATATTCAGC